TTAAACATCTAAATGTCTTAATATATAAAAATGTCTACATGCCCCAACCTTCTAACACTGGCAAAGGGACCAACTAATGGAAATACATTCCAGCAGGAGGGAGGAGAGAAGTGTGACTTGCTGATATTCCTGCGAAACAGCTGATTTGCTTTCCCTTCCACTTTTGGGGTTCAGGTGGATCTGGTGAAGAAGAAAGGCCTTCTGTTGGAACTGGTGGTAGAACTCACCGAGGGAGCTGTTGGTGGAAAGAAGCTAGAAGCCAAGTCTATGTACAGGCCTGATGTCTCTCGAGAGCCTTGTAGGAAGCCCCCCAAGAGTGCCCAGACCTCTGCGGCCACTGAGAGCACTCATGCAGAGTCCGTGGAGTCTCAGGCAGAGGTGGTCACGGAGGATGCCAGCCTGGCTTCTGCAAAGGAGAGCGGTGCCCCAGAGAGGATGAAGTACCAGAAAGGGTGGCCCCTCTTCCAGGAGATCTTCATGCTGACTGCTCTGGAGGAGGAGGAAGTGAAGACTCTGAAGGCACGTGAGTGGCAACAGTCAGAAGCACAGAGCTCAGCCGTGGAGCCCCCGCTGGCCATGAGGAAGAGCTCATACTTCATTCCCAGCCTCGCCAGATTGAAATAGAGAAGGGAGGGAGGAGCAAACGTTTCGGCTTAAGACAAAACTGGGCCTGTGAGTTTCCTTTTAGCCGTGAGTTGGGGGAAAGTGCCAGTATCTGACTTTGTATGCTGCAAATCCAAAGCGAGGCCCAGTACAATTAGAACTAGGTATGTTTGTTGTGATGACAAGCAAGGCTTACACTGAAGGCTGAAAAATTACAGCTTTTCTCCTTTCCCAGCAAGATGACTGAGTAACAGGTTCAGATGTGATGAGAAAAAGTATCTCTTCATCCAGAATGTAGCACACCACCACAGGATGCAATGACAGACATTAGCTTCACGATGCCTTAAAAAATAGACAGACTAGTCCTTCCACTTGCTGTTAACACATGACTAAGAGCAGCCTCCAGCTTCAGAGTCAGTCTGTCTGCAGAGAACAGCTGCTAAAGCAAGCAGAGGAGTTCTGTAGCCCTCCTTGCAGTCAGGGTGGTGGGCTAGGAACCAGATGCTTCAGAGCTACTAGAGATGGTGGTTTTGTGGAACTGAAATAGCTCTTAAGCAGAGGGGAGAGCAGGATGGGTTCCCTTGCATCTACACTGAATATTCAGGAATAAGGTTTTGGTTGTCTTTGAGTATTCTGACGGGGCAAGATCTCAGCTGTGGCTTCTCCTCTTGCCATGTTGAATGGTTAGGCCTGATCTCTAGCATATGCTGAACTCCAGTTCCTCTCCCCCATCTGCTGGCTGACGTGGAAGCACCGCGAGCAGACATGACACGGGCATGGGTGTTCTTTTTGTTCACAGAAGTACCTTCTCAAGCAAGCCCAGCCGGGCCCCTGGGAGTTCCACAGTGAGGTCTTAACCAGCCAGTCACCGCAAGAGATCTGTGCTAACCTTATCCGGGAGAAGCTCCTCGAGCACTTGCCGCAGGAAGTGCCATACGCCGTGACGCAGGTGAACGCAATGCTTGCAGCACCCCACCGCCCAATCCCCCACCCCACCCCCCATGCCGGCAGATTCATTGTGGACCTGTGGGCTTCTTTTCTTTCAGAAAACAGCCGTTTGGGAAGAGGGTCCAGGTGGGGAGCTCGTCATCGTGCAGAATTTGGAGGTCCAGAGGGAGAAATACATGGTAAGTATTTGTGTCCGAGGCTTCTCCGCTGGAGCGGGGGTGGCCCTTCAGTACCATTATCAGTATCAGTAGCTTGTTGAGGTGTTGACTACTTTTAACACCTTTTTGTGGGGGTAATTCTTAAACTTTCTTTAGTTACAGTATGATCCTAAAACACAATAAAATTCCAACCAGATAAGGAAGATTGAATAAGAGATGAAGGCTTAGCGGTATCAATTCTGCCAAAGGCCTGGGGGAATGACCAAGTTTTGAAGTAGCCCAAAATGCTTCCAGGAATCAATGCCGGCCATTACTGGTGAAGGAGGGAGAGCTGCAATTAGGGAGTGCGTGTTTCAGGCCGTAACCCTGGAAGAGCGCAGGCAGCCCCTACCCTCTGGACCTCCCCTCCGCATGCAGGGGGCTGCTCTTGGGGGCTGGCCCTTTGACAACAAAGCCGTGCTGTGTATTTGGTCAACTTGTGGGGTTGGGGTGGGCTAGGAAAGGACCCTGCCCATTCCTCTGCAGAGGCCTTGCTTCCTGCCATTTAGAATTGGCACGGAGGCATCATTTGCCCCTTCCTCCTCTGGGTGGAGCCCATTTGAGTCGAATCCCACCCCCACGCCTGAAGGAGAAACTTTCAGCTCTGTAGGCATTCAAGACTGCTGGGGTGCAGGAAGCTCCTGCTGAAGGCCGCAGATACCGACAGGGAGGGTTGCTGCCCGAGAGCCTTGCTGATCGGGAGCATCTGGCTCCCACTCTGGGAGAAATGAAATTTTAGTCTGATCTGGAATGGCTCTTCCTAACTAGAGCCATTTATGTAGCTGAGTGTCTCAAGATGCATTCAGGATGATGGTGGAGCAATTCATTTGATGATTGGAATTTAAAAACCCTGACCCATGTACCTTTTGAAGGGGGCATCTGCAGAATCCTCATTTGGGTTTTCCTCTTGCCTCACTCTGCACTTCCTCTCCCACACAGACCTGCTCGGCCGGGAACTTATCCTGGGCGATGGGTGCAAACTGCCTGCGGTGCTACCGGTTTGAGTGGGGGTGGATGACGAGGGGAGGGTACAGATCAATGACGCGGGGATCGCAGACCACGCAGAAGATGGGCTGGCTGGGCTGGCTTTAACGGTCCTCTTTGCCCTCCCTGCAGAAGATGCTGATTGGCTACCAGGGCCAGGTGATCAGCAAGATTGCCGCCGAGGCAGGCCACGACTTGATGAACGCTTTCCTGTGTGAAGTGCAGCTGAAGCTCTCCGTACAGCTGAAGAAATGAACCGCCCAGCCTGCCGTCCACCCTGCAAGGACAGGTCGCTCTTGGATGGGTCTCCTTGGGCTTTCCTTTTGGGCACTGCTCCTCTTTGGCCAGAGAGCTCAGCTGGACGACCCTGCTGCCCTCGGCTTGGAGTCCCCCCCTCTCATGCCAGAGACGGCGGCAGCGGCTTGGAAGCGGCCGTGGAGCTCTGTCCTTCCCTCCTCGGGAGCCCTGCAGGGCTTCTTAGGCTAAGAGAGATGTACAGTTGCCAGTGGGCGGGAGCCAGTGCTGTCCTGGTGTTCGTGGTAAGCAGAAGAAAAGCGGTGCCAACTGTGGCTCAGCCCCTTGGTAATTAAAATTTTTATTGTGGTGTATAAAAAGCACAGTTAAAATACAAATCGAAAGGTATAGCGAAGAAAGAACTAAAAGAAAACAACAAAAAACTAAAAAGGTGAAAATAGATAGAAAGATGAAACAGAAAGTGACTTCCGAGTATCTCCAATACAGATATAAATACAAATTAAAAAAGGTTAATCTCTTACCACTATGTAATCCAAATTCACGTTATTTCTATCAGCACAAACTATCTAATCATTAAATCCCACAATCAAAGCTTCATTTTTTTCCCACTCAAGCACGTTAACTAAGAAGGGTTGCCATGAGGAGACAAATTTAGAAACAGTATTATCTCTTACTAACGCTGTTAATTTTGCCATTTGAGCCAAAACTGTGGTTCAGTCCCTTGACTTCTTGTGAGTATCATACTCTTGCCTTGCCTGGCAGAGAGGGTGGCACCCCTTGGCCTTTGGAGCTCCTCTTGCAGATGTTGCCAGAGGTGGTGGTAGCAGGGGCCACCTAAGAGCTCTCTCTTCTCCATGAGGGGGTCCTTCAGAACCTGTTTTCAACTGAGCAAAGGAATCTCCCTCCTCTCTAATGGCTGTTCTTAAGGCAGAAGTATGGCAGACACGCTGTTGTGCATACATTGCACACCAATAAGGTGCCATTTCCATCCAAATTGATGCAAGAAAATCTGAGTCACTTCCTCCGACCCTCTGCGAGTAAAGAATGTTTGGAGTTGGCTGATCTGGCTGACCTTTCATTGCAATAAAATGAGCCTCCTGGTCAGACCAGCACTTTTATGTTCTTAGCTGACAAGAAAGGCAGTGCTGGCTGAGGGGGAGACAAAGGGTGTTTCACAATCCAGAACAGGCTGAATTCTGTGGGGGTTCTAATACAGGTAACAGCGTGAGTGGTAAGGGCTGGCCAGCCAGGTAGCCAAAGTAAGCCAGCATCAAGTCTCTTCCCTAGAAAAGTTGACATTGAAAAGATGGCAGAAATTGTAGTTCTGTAGCAAAGAATTCAAATTACTACAGTTTGCAGCAGTTTCTCAACCTTGACAATTTTAAGATATGTGGACCTCAACTCCCAGAATTCCCCAGCCAGCCATGGTGGCTGAGGAATTCTGGGAGTTGAAGTCCCCATGTCTTAAAGTTGCTAAGGTTGAGAAACTCCGGTTTACAGGGTGGCTGATTCAGTGTCAGGTTAGAAGGAAGCTGCCTTCCATGCAGCCTCCTGCCTTGCTTAAGGTGTTTCAGAAGTACACGATTAACATCTGCTGATGCAACACTAACTGGATTCAGCCTGTCTAGGTCAGACAGAAAATCTTTTCCAACAGGATTGAGTTTGGGGGAAAACTGGTTCTGCCAGATAAGTTAGCCCTAAAGAATGTCCTTCGCAAGCCATCCCCTCTCAGACCAGCTGTTCAAGTTAAAGCCCATCAAAAAATGTTAAATGTACTCAACAAATGATTAATCAGACAAGCTTGGTGATTTCATTAGCGCCAGTTCAATCCAAGGTCTTTGGCTGTCTGAAGGACAGAATGCCCTCCTGTCCGCATTCCCGGGTCCTGCGTTGTACTGATTTGGGAGGAGGAGCAGTCTTCTCCACGGCCTCAATCGTACTTGCTGGCCGGGTCACCTGGTGCCCGATGCTGGGTGCAGCAGCGATTGCTGTCTCTGGAGGTTGCACGAGGTGACACAACGTGCAGGTGAGGCCTGGCCAGGCTGCCCTTCCATAACTTGGGGCCATTCTGAGTCCCCTGGAGGAGATGGCAAACTCAGATTACCAGGCACCAACAAGCTAATCTTGGGGCCACTGGGGTGCTGCCTCCTGTTTGCATCATCCACTGCCTGAGGAGCCCTCTTATCTGAGCTAATGGTAGAGACAACCTTGGACTCCAGTGAGGAGATACTCTTGGATAGGAAGATTAAGGTGTGGTTTGGGGACAGGAAGCCACATTATGTTGCAGCAAGGAAAACTTGCATGTCTTGGTTGCCAGCTTTTAAAAATGGCTCTTGCTTAGTCTTACCAAACCTGGCAGGTGGCTGACAGGAGTCCTTAGTTTCACCTGGGTCCTTCCCAATATTCCCATAGCATCATAGCCAAAAAGCCTGCAGGTTGTAAGGCTGGTGGGGGACTTGTGCAATAACTTCCTTCACCAAGTGATGATAGCCGTGATGGTTGAATAACCCACAGTAGGTTGTGTTCCTAAAATCAGCTGAGATATAATCGATGGCAGTGTTTCTCAACCGTGGCAACTTTAAGGTGCACGGACTTCACTTCAACTCCCAAAATTCCCCAGCCAGCAAGGGAGTTGAAGTGAGGTCCACACATGTTAAAGCTGCCAAGGTTGAGAAACACTGATCTACAGGTTACAAACACGTGACTGATTTACCCAACATGCCATACCAAAACTCTATCAACTGCATAATGGCTTCTTGCAGCCCAAGACGCCCAGAAACCTGCCAGCTGCAACTGCTGGTGTTGATCTGCAATAGCTACTGAATAACCAGAAGAGATAAGAGGATCCTGTTTTCCAGTTGTCCTGCCAGTAAGTGCAAAGGAACAGTTAATAGCTAACTAGCAGCTAGTTGACCTTGACCACCTGCCCAAAGGCAGGCTTCCATGGGAAGCCAAAACAGGTTTAGCTGGCCTTGGGAGCTAGGAATGAATGCTGATCAGGTTCACATCAGACCCAAAATTGGGGGTGGGGTAGCTAAATCTCAAAGGCAAATGACTTCAAAACAATTTTAAGATGCTACATGTTTACACTTCTCCTAACAAGACATTTCCTTCAACTAATGAGCACCTGCTTAGGCTGTAGGAAGCTTGGGTATCTTGGAGTAAATTAAGAATAGTTTTGAATTAAACTATTGAAACGACCTAGGAGAAAGGTTCGTTCTGTTTACTGGCAGAATAATTGGATTTTAAATGATGGCTTTTCAAACATTAAAAAAATTTCAAAATATTTCTGTAGAAATCGCAGATCATATAATAAATGTTTGGCAGAAATGGTGCCATTCGTTTTAAGACTTCGTCATCTCCTGCCTTGAAGCCACGGTATCCTGCTGGAGGAGATGCGCTCAGGCGCGCAAACGCGCCCGTTTCCAAGGCGGCGGGTGAGGGGCGGATCTCGGGGCGCCCCGGCGGGGAAGCTAAGCCCGGGCGAGCGGGCCTCGGGCGGGGAAAGAAGGGGGCCCCCTCCTGCGCGCGGAGAGGCCGGGCCGTGGAGGTTTCGGATGAAGCGCCCGCCTCGCGGGGGGAACGCGGCGTGGCCGGGCAAGGGAGACGGTCGCCCTCGTCCTTCGGGGGCTCCGGGGGTGGGCCGCGCTCCAGCGGGGCCCCGCGCGGGCGAGCCCGGAAATTCGGTGCGCGGACAAAAGAGCCGCGCCTCTGTTCGGAGGGAGCGGCGCTTCCGGGAGCGCGTGCGCATGCGCACACGGAGGACGACCCAG